CCCGAACGGTTCGGAGGCCACGGCTCACGAGGCCCACCGCATGGAGAGGCGGCGGGCCCAACCGAGCTGGCATTCCCTTCTCCCGAGCTAATGTGTCCGAGCTGCCCAGATCTCTATTGCCGAGCTCGCACGTGGCACGGCCGAATTGACACTTGTCACCTTGTGTATTGGCCCCACTACACCCCTCATTTGTGATTTAACATGACGAGTAGAGTTTAAGTTCTACTACTGAGCTAGGCCAATATCCTCATCTTGACGAGGGAAATCTAAGCAATCTGGTAGGACCTTTTTTGTTAGTCTTCCTTCTTATCGTTCTTCTTCCTCCATTTTTTTTGTGAGCTGTTCTTCTTTATTTTAATTTATACTAAGGTGAGTATTTTATCTTTATTTGTTTATCCATGTCAAGCATTAAATTGATGTTTAGATTCACACGTAAAATTGGATTCTGAGTCTGTATTGCATGGTTTAAATTCAACTGGTTTCAAGCCAAGGCAAGAAAGCCACGAATTATGCATGAAGTTTGTTTATTTTTTATCCTATTTTTCCTCGTTTGATCCTTTTTTTTTTTTTTTTTGGGAGGAAGTGGGGGGGGGGCTGTGCATGAATAGGACTTGCAAGTATCATGAGAAATCAAATCTCCTACGTTACTGTTTAACTATACATGAATCTGTGTTTTATACGTTTCTTTCATACCATTAACGTTTACAGAACTCAAACAACGACATATCATGAAACCAATCTAACATTTTGTTCGTTTTTTTTTTTGGATAAATGTATTCAACACGACATATCCTAAGAATCAGTTGGCTATCTTGTACATCTTTTCTTCTACATCTTATTGTAAATCCAAATTAACTGTAATAAGTATAATTAATTTGGACCCATGCAGGTTAGGTCCACATAATTTGCTTTTAGAAAATCTTTGGCCGATGTAAGCGAAACTTTTGTTTGTCGAAAATCTATCAAAGTTTTTCACCAAGCATGAATACTGTCGCCATTGATTTGCATTACCCAAGTATTTAAAATGGTGAAAAGGAGGGCAAATAATCAAACAGTGAAAAGGAACACAAAAGATTCAATAATTTGTTGAATTTGCAGAATCAGATATCCGTGAATAAAATGTCAAAGTGGTACGGAGGAGGGAGGGTAAGAAGAAAGTAAAAAAAAAAGGAAAAAAAGAAAACATCTGCAGGGTTCCGCATGCTCATGCTTGGCATCCTCAATCGTTCTTTTCTTTAGATCAAATCATCTCATGAACTTTTTACGGCAAAGTTTCTTTCATATCAGGAATTCAGGATCCCATCTTCACAAGATAAAAACAACAAAAGGCTGATTAGAGTTTATGACGAAAACAAATTTTCAGAAAGGCCCACTTTGTTTGACACCTTTTTAACCTTTTTTAGTCAATTGTCATCTCTAGTCCACTTTATTGTCAGTTACTTTTTCAAAGGTAAATCCGACTGGTCCAGGTGATTTCTGCAGGGGAAGACCAAATGCCTTCAAGTGCTAACCAATTACTATCCATTGTGTCAGGTAAATCCTGTACGTCTGGATTTCTGCATTCAATAAAATTTAATGGATCACCTAAACTATGGCCTTGGACATTTATGCAAGTGCACGTGCATTTTTGTCCATCCTACAGGCAGGCGGCAAGAAAGAATTATCCTTCAATTCTTTGTACTCGCAACATTAGTTGGAGCAAGAATGACACCTTTTATTTCACGTACATAACATATCCCATTGTTTTTTCCTTAAAAAAAAAGAAGACGTAATTGTTTTTCTGCCTTGGCACATTTGAAGTGCACTCTACTACACTAAGAAAAAAAAAAAACATTGGTGAACTAATATAATTAGTTGGTATTTAATAAGCTCGGTTTAATGTTGGACAAGGAATCCTTCCTATATGTCCTCCATCAATATTGAAAGATTAGCTACAGGGTATTAGAAGTCCTGTTTCAAATTTCTCGTCCTTCTTAAATTCCATCATTTATTTATTTGTGCTTTCACTTACAATATGATTGTACATATGGAATAATTACATATATTGAAATACAAAAAGGACAATTCATGAGATACGTCAGAGTATCGGTGAATATTAGTTGGACCGTAGTTTTAAGTTAATAAAAAAAAAAGTGGATTTCAGTCAAGCACGAGAGAGTTAAATTAATGTTAATGGGGGTGGATTATATTCTATTCCTAAGTGAAGCCTCAAGGGTAGTAGCGTCAAGCAAGGGCTTGATTTGAAGATAACGCGGCAAGAATACTTGTCGGTCCGCATCGTTCTTCATTTAGCAACTTCAATTCAACATTGAACACTAGGGCTGTGAACCGGAATCAAAATTAATAATTCGAAACTTTGAAATTGAAAATTTTTAAAATTTTGGCATCAAAATTTTCGACCAAATTCGATTTCGAATTCATCAACTCCGAATTCAAATTCGTTCCGAATTCAATTTGAAATTCGGTAAATTCCGATTTCACAGAATTCAGAAATATAAAATTATTATTATAATATAAATGTTATATTACATATATATATAATATATGAAAAATTATATATATAATATATGAAAAATTATATATATATGAAAAATAAATTTGAAATCAAAATAGGAATTCCGAATCACCGAATTCAGGAATATAAAAAATATTATTATAATATAAATGTTATATTACATATATATTTAAAAATTATATATATGAAAAATGAATTTGAAATCAAAATAGGAATTCTGAAATTCCGATTTCGAAAAATCCCATTAACGAATTCAAACCAAATTCGCATAATTTGAAATCGGAAAACCCGATTTCAATTCCGAATTCCAAATAATCGATTTCGAAAATTTCGAATTGGTCGATAAATCGAAATTTTTCGATTTTGCACACTCCTATTGAACACGGAAAACTGATAGCTACAAAACCAATTAGGGGCAGCAACAAACGTTAGTGAAAGGTCAATGGCCCGAATTGATAAAAAAAAATGTACAACTTAAATTAGTTACGTTCATGTTAATTCTATGCGCGATGGGCTAGTACTTGTTAGAGACTTTGGCATGAAAAGTATGCTAAATGACCACACGTAGGATCTGTAATGCTCAGGCCAAATTCTAAATAACTTAAGTACCCGAGATTTGCATGTCCAAAGGACTAATCAGTGTTTTGAAAATTGAATCCAACCGATCAGTTAGCCATATCAATCGATCAATTCGACTGATTGAACTGCAAATTAACCATATCTTTGGTCTGGTTCAATGAAAAACCCAAATAATCAATTGAATTGGTTAAATTTGATTAAGAACCGATTGGACGGGTAAAAATCAGGGGGCTTAGCCAATTTTTATTTCCTAAAATAAAATTTTAATTTTATTCAAAATTTTTAATACTAAAATAAATAAAAAATCAGAAGCCTCAACGGTAGTTGCGTCAAGCGAGGGCTTTGATTTGACGATAACGCGGCAAGAATATTTGCCGGTCCGCTTCGTTCTTCATTTAGCAACTTCAATTCGACATCGAACACGGAAAACTGATAGCTACAAAACCAATTAGGGGCAGCAGCAAACGTTAGTGAAAGCTCAATGGCCCGAATTGATAAAAAATAAAAAATAAAATTTACAACTTAAATTAGTTACGTTCATTTTAATTCTATGCGCGATGGGCTAGTACTTGTTAGAGATTTTGGCATGAAAAGTATGCCAAATGAGCACACGTAGGATCTGTAATGCTCAGGCCAATTCTAAATAACTTAAGTACCCGAGATTTGCATGTTCAAAGGACTAATAAGTGTTTTGAAAATTGGATCAAACGGATCAATTAGTCATATCAGTCGATGATTGAACTGCAAATTAACCATATCTTTGGTCTAGTTCAATGAAAAAACTCAAATAATCAATTGAATTGGTTAAATCCGATCAAGAACCGATTGGACGGGTAAAAATCAGGAGGCTCAGCCAATCCTAAAATAAAAATTTTAGTTTTATTCAAAAACTTTAATACTAAAATAAATAAAAATTTATTAAACCTTTGAATTGGAATTGAATCGATCGAACCACGGACAGGAAGGTTTTCTGCTTCACTCTTCGATCCGAGTTTAAAAACAGTGGGACTAATTAAACCATCAAAAAGTACCAGTTGACGTTGTAAAATGTTTTGAAGCATAGACTCACCTCACGTCGGCTGAACTGCAACTTTTTTTAGCGCGGGTACCAACATCATCTGGCTTTTTATTTGCCGCTCATGGTTAACCTTTAGATCATGATTAGTGATTTATTTTTTGCAAGCGTATCTAGTAGGGTACCACGTCCTTTTACATGGATGCCACATTAATTTCCAAGAAATTTAACCAAAAGAGCTGCTGGTATCTATCTACTAACCTGCCAATGAACATACGTAAAATCCTCTACTTTGCAAAGAAAAGTGAAAAGGTTAATGGAATCTATGTAAGAAAGAAGCAACTTCATTAGATGACATCCTTAAAAAAATCCAAACATATGCAAGAAATACGTATTTGCAATCATCCAATTACTCGTTTTTCTCATACATACGTATTTAACTTTAATTTCCAAGAACTGGTATCATGGAGACATCTTGTCATGATAAAGAAATCGGCGTGCATGGAGAGAAAAGTAGCAACTAGCCACTTGGTCGGAAAGCAAAGAAATGAGAGAGAGACCACCAAATTAGGTGCAACCCCACCAAAATGAGCAAAGGCAAAGCGTAGGGAGGTGAAGTATTGGGATAAATCAGAAAAGGCCATAAAACCCCCCCTCCCTTGGCAGATGGCTCCAGGCTCCAGCCAGCTTAATTACTCCAAATTCTGCCAAACTTTGGAGGGGTCCATCAGACGATGTGGTCACATACTTGCCCCACGAGTTTTGTTCCCACTAACTACTGTATCCTTAGATTTGGTTGTGATGCTTTCACTCGCTATTTTGCTTCCAAAGTAGTAATAGTAAATCAGCCAATCGATTCTTTCTTATCCCCTTCCTTCAAGGCCTATAAATATCCCTCTAACCCCCTCTTCAATTTACGCATAACACAGTAGTTTATTTCACAAACACACGCATTCTCACACACTAAGAGAGTGAGACACATCTGTAAACGAAGCATAAGCACAAGCAAACACAAACTAGAAAGAGAGATGGCTACATTCCCCCTAATCGACATGGAGAAGCTTGACGGTGAAGAGAGGGCTGCCACTATGGGAGTCATAAAAGATGCTTGTGAAAGCTGGGGCTTCTTTGAGGTGATTGAAGAACACACACACACGAAAAAAAAAACTTGCTAAGTAGTTTTCTTACCGTAAAGCAACAATCTTTTTCAGTACTTTACTAGGTAAATGATCAGCTAGAAGTGGTTGCTAATTGTCTGGTCTTTTTTTTTTTTTTTTTTTTTTTGGGGTTTCAGGTGTTGAATCATGGGATATCTAATGAGTTCATGGACACAGTGGAGAGGCTAACAAAGGAGCATTACAAGAAATGTATGGAACTAAAGTTCAAGGAAATGGTGGAGAGCAAGGGACTGGAAGCTGTTCAGACTGAGATCAATGATTTGGACTGGGAAAGTACCTTCTTCTTGCGCCATCTTCCTGTTTCCAACATCTCAGAAGTCCCTGATCTTGATGATGAATACAGGTTATTAGACAACTCTTTTCACTCCTAAATTACTGCCAGAAGACTCTGATTATCTTCCCACAATCTGGGACACTGTTAAAAAAAATATATACCTAGCTACACCTGTTCTTACCTACCCAGGACCACATTACTGAAAGCGACATATGACCCACTGACTCTTCCCAACTATTTTTCTGCTACAACTCCGTTCACATGCTTACACAGGAAAATACAGATAAGACCCAAAGATAAGAATGATCAAGGACCTACTACAGTGATTAAAAAAGAGTTATAAATAAAAGAATGGAGCAGTAGTCTAATCTTTTCATCATGGAAGAAACTACTAATTTGTTTCATTGCTGGATAAATCTGAAATGATTGCAGAAAGGTTATGAAGGAATTTGCGTTGCAACTTGAGAAACTAGCAGAGCTCCTATTGGACTTGCTATGCGAGAACCTTGGCCTAGAGAAAGGCTATCTGAAGAAAGCCTTCTATGGCACCAAAGGACCAACCTTTGGCACCAAAGTCAGCAATTACCCTCCATGCCCTCGTCCAGAACTGATCAAGGGCCTCCGGGCACACACCGATGCCGGCGGCATCATCCTGCTGTTCCAGGATGACAAGGTCAGCGGTCTCCAGCTCCTCAAGGATGGTGAATGGGTGGATGTTCCGCCTATGCGCCACTCCATTGTAATCAACATCGGCGACCAACTTGAGGTACTTGAATAAATTCCCAAATCTTTGCAATTGAACCTCCCAAATGAAGTCGCCTTACAGCTCCTAATTATCCACTAAATCACTCATTTAACATATTTGAAGGTAATCACAAATGGAAAATACAAGAGTGTGATGCACCGGGTGATAGCTCAACCAGATGGGAACAGAATGTCACTAGCATCATTCTACAATCCAGGAAGTGATGCAGTGATCTATCCAGCACCGGCATTGGTTGAGAAAGAGGCAGAGGACAAGCAGATATATCCCAAGTTTGTGTTCGAGGACTACATGAAGCTCTATGCTGGCCTTAAGTTCCAAGCTAAAGAGCCCAGGTTTGAAGCCATGAAGGCCGTGGAAAGCACCGTAAACTTGGGTCCAATCGCAACTGTTTGAGATCACGCTTTGATCTGCTGCTGTCTTATAATGCGCGTTTGCGTAATCATATCCTAGCATAGTAATAATATCTGAGATCTGAGTCTGTATTGTGGTGTGAGTTTGGTTTAGCCCCTTGTTAATGCTTGGATTGGACTAGTTAAATGTGGAGCTGGTTTGTTAGATAAGATAGTCTTGCCAGGATCTTTGAGTAAATATGATTCTGCGGAAGTCTGCGGTGAATGATAACGTGTAAAGCAATCCGAAAGTTACCTTTCTGGGGCTTTGTCATATGCAATGGAGAAGGAATCTTCCAATACCAGCACTGCTAAGTGGATACAAAAACTTTGATCGAGTTATCTTATCTGAAAGGGAATGCGGTAAAAAGCAAGTACTACTGTTATTTAAATCAAATCGGCCAGCAAGTTTGAAAAAAAAAGAGTCTGTGATTAGAGACTGACTTTATCCAACATTATTATGCACCGTTTGGTTTCTAGTCAGTAGAAACTTTATCCAACAATACTACTATTGTTGTGCAAGTTCACCCCTGCATTCTCAGCGTCAGAGCGTGGGGGCGAGGTTTTGTCATGCCAACCAATAACTTTGGACCCCATGCCTAACCTGTAACGCAAAGATACGCACCGACTTCCGATCGTTCTTTAGCAGCCCATAAAAACGATGATGTTATTGTTCTTCTTTCTTTTTCCTCGAGCAAATTAGTCCATCCATCAAGAAAATTAAGTACGTGTCAATTCCGAGAAATCCGCAATGATCTTCTGAAGAAGAGATTGGGCAGCCAAAAAAATAGTCAAATAGGAGATAGAGTACTACTATTTATTACTCCAGTTGGTCAGTACAACAGGGTCAGAAAAGAAACCATTTGCGGCTCAATTGACGAATTATGCTGGAAACTGGAGACCCTACCATGGTCTCTCAAAGAAGAAGAAGAAAATTTCCCTTCGCAGAATTCTGATTCCAGTTTGGCGTTTCCTGCGAGGTTATTGGATTGAAACACTACTACTATTCCCTACACCGTGACCAGGGAATGAGATGAAACGCGCCGCGAGTATATTAGATTGACAAAATAGGCTGGATCTTTTAGAGAAAACGACTATTGCTGACAGCTATTTTTCATCTTCACGACGGGAGCTTGCTGAGAAGCATCCGCATTTCCTTCCCCACTACTCCAAAAATGGAACTCAACTCTTCAGAAAGGGAAAGGAAATAGGTAAAGGTACTTCCTTGTTATGTAAAATCCCACTGCGAATGGTGGGATCAGCAAATTCAGCTGTCATTCTGATAACAGTCGCGTGAGCATGCATATGCATGCATGCGTGCCGGGTATCCCATCAGGGAAGTGGAAAGCCCTTGCTACCATGTATTATAACTGCAAGCCTGACTGACACTTCCAAGCCCCACCATCCCAACCTGAGATAAGAACGAACAAACCAAACGAATAGAAAGAAAATTTCCCACTAAAAGCAGCATGTTAACTTTCCTTTCTTTTTCAGGAAAGTGAAAGCAACTAAGAAAAAAGTACTACCCCCTGTACTGCATAAGGAAGACTGTACATACACCAATAATTAAAGAGGCATCCTCCCCAGAAAAGAAATTTTGAAGGCCAAAAGCATCAAAAAAACCAAATATCTCAGTCCTGTAGGCTTCAATAACAACCTATTGCTTTTGTTTGATAGGAAACATTCTACTATCGTCTCAAAAGATCAACGTAGTTGGCTGGTATGTATGTTGAAACAACTTCTGTATCCATCCATGTGCTAACAGGTTCAGATAACTTCTGTATCTACTGGGGATGACATACAAGAAACCGAGGGTATCCTTGTTATATTCTAACGAAGACATTTACACTCTCAGGCTCACTCTATTCTGTCAAACAACCGCTTCCTTGAACTTCATCTAATCTCGGTCTCAGTAAATTACCACCACCATGCTACTAAAATTTCATTGAGAACAACGCGTGAATATTAAAGAGTATGCTTTCTTTGATAGGCCACAGTGGGTAGAAAAAACCAGTGTGACACCACTAGCAATTCAAGCCTACGTGTTATTGTGTTTCGAGTGTGAATGGCAAGTATGTGCAGCACAGGGAGTGTCCACGGCATTTACCAATAACACACCTTGGCCAAACCTCAATAATCATCGTTTGATTGCCAACTTAGTCCCAAAATTCAGTCAAGCTGCCAGATTAAGGTGACAATAAGTTAGATTGTTCTCTGAATGTATACCCAGATTGTATATCTATTTCATAAATTGCAAAACTCAGAAAACACACACAAGCCAGATTACTCATAATGGTAGTATGCGAAATGTCCTAAAGATTTGTTCTTTGAAATGATATGGGTTAGAAAGTCAGCAAGATATCCTGTTCCAACCGAAAAGCCCAAGGTGAAAAATCCTAGTTCAGACTATAAATCGTGCTTGACACAAAATTCTGATTTATTTTAGCTATTAGTGTGAGCCAACTTCAAAAGAGATAAGTTCCATTTAAGAGGATAAAAACAAGAGTTTAAGCAACATCATCTCATTTAAGAGGATACAAAATTCATATCAAAGTTCCTGCACTCAAAAGTTTAAGCAACAGCTGAAATTTAAGAGGATAAAAACAAGAAAGGGAGAATTCACACTAATAGTGCAGGAAAGGACATCATCTCATTTCATAAAAGTTCACTACACGGATTGGGAATAAAAAATAAAATCCATGAGTCAAGTGTGGAATATAACTATTGCAGCCTGAAGCCATAATTTAGATCCTAAGCAATGAAGACTCCTTTGCACTATAACATTAGCATCAGTCGAAAGTTCAAAATTATTAGCATACCCCAAGAAACAAAACTGTTCGATTAAGAACATGTATCAAGAATGTTGATGCCCATTCTGTCTTAAAAATGCGAGTGAAAAACCTTAACCCTTCTGCAAAAGAGATGGACAATCTCTTACCCAATGAAACTTGAGGATGAGGAAAATGGTAAGGTATTTGGCTGAAGCTATAAGAAATCTCATGCACTCCAAACAAATTACTCCCCTGAAGTTTGAGTTACCTCATTTGGATCCTCTATCTTACTAGAAAGAGCCATGCTTACATTCTCAATTCTTTTCTCTTGTCCCTCACTAGCTTCTTCATTGGAGCAATGATTCTTCAGAACTGTTGCAATGTCTGTTTCAGAGGCTCCAGCAAGCTTGAATCTCTCGATTGCAGTGTCCAAATTCTTCTTCCAACCAGTCAAATTCAATTTAAATTCAACTTGGGATCGTTCAAAAAGCATATTACCCCAGAATAGATGTATTTGAGATCTCATCACAGCAGCTTGTTCTGCTGCTTCATCAGCTGAAAGTGCCCCCTGACTGCCAGCAGATGAGCCCTCATTTTCTACTCCACTTCCTGGCTTCTTCCGTCTTTTCAACAGTTCTTCCTTCTTACTTGCTGCTCCAGGATCCTTCAGTTCATTTGCTCTATGCTCTTCCAACTTCTCCCACATTTGAGTAGCTACTTTCATTTTTTCTTCTGCACTGTCAAAAAGTTGTAGGGTCTCCGTAGGATCCCACTTTGATAGGTCTTCTTTCTTTGCCACAACAAAGGACCAATGGAGCTTTGCCATTTCAAATTGCTGCTGCCCAAGTGCCAAGAGACCTTCATAAAAGTCTGGTTTGACAGAAAGTGCCTCCTCATACTTCTCTCTGGCCAACGAATACTTTTCCTTGACCCAGTCATAAGCAGCTTGAAGTTGTGAGGCCATCAAGTCCTTTGAAGCTGAGTCATCTATAGGAATCCGCTTCCTTGCTGCACACATGTGTACATTTCCCCAGTTAAAGAAAGCTAGAGCAGCTACTTCCTGAAACTTTAAAGCGGCCTTATCAAAAAGGGTTTGAGCTTCTTCACTTGTCACTGTCTCCTCCAGAGCTTCAGAGCATAGCTCCATCCCAAGCTCATGAAGATCAATGTGAGCATCTGGGTCAATACCGACATGGCTTCGGAACAACTGTGCAAACTCAAATAACCAGTCATCCATCTCCACTTCCTTGCACTCAGGATCTTCTGATATTCCAGTTTTCTCCTTTGGAGCTGGCTTTTCTGTCTTAACAACTTCATTGTCCACAGGTTCCACAACAGACTCACCTAGTGAAGAGTTAGATGCATTTTCATCTTCTTTAGTTGCCTCAGTCTCGGCAGGTTTCTCTTCTTCCTCTTCCAATAAAGGTGGCTCATGTTCAGGACTCACCTCTACAATATGCAACCTCAACGTCCCAGCTGAATCTTGTTTATCACTATCAGGGTCTTTCGGACTAAGCCAGTCAACACAGGACTCAGCCAATCGAAGCTCAGCCGTGCATGTAATTGTAACTAAATCACCGTCATTATCTTTATACTTAATCAGAACAGACTTTGACATCGGGAGCCGTTTGCCTACGATATCCCTTAACACCTTAAAATTGCAACTCACAGGCATTTGAGCAAGTCTAATGTCGTGATCATAAACAAGCTTCAATGGTCTCCATCGAGTTACAACCTCAACAGATTGCGCATGTGTTGAAACTGGCAATGATGAAGATGATCCATGTTCCTTACTCTCCTTAACTGAAATGGCACTCGGTTTGGAAGAACCCTGTGAAGGCTTTAAAACAACGTTTGGTAATTGAGATTTGGCTTCTGGACAATTTTCAGTTGGCAAAGCTGGACAAGACTTATCTGCCTTATTATTAGCTGATAAAGCTGAAACCACAGCTGGAGTTGCTGCCTTCTTTGATACTGGTCGAGCTGGCAAACAAGGTCCAAGGCCACCAATCGGAGCTCCCCGGACAGCAGAAGCACCCAGGGCAGCAGGCGATGGGCGACTCTGGAGGTCCTGTTGGGCCTCCTGGCGTGGGCCAAGCGCCATCCTCAATCTCCCCACAATCTCCAGTGCATCCCTGTGATTCGGGTCAGCACTCAATAACACTTGCACATCTTGCATCGCCATTTCATGCTTCCCTACTGCCTCAAAAGCACGAGCCCTCCGCAAAAGGGCCCGAACAAATCCAGGCTGAACCTGAAGTGCCAGAGTACATTCCGAAATCACGCTATCATAATCTATGGGCTTCATTTGCATTAAACAAGCAGCTCTATTGCTATGAAAAACAGCTCTTTCTGGGTGCGTTTTCGGGATCAGTTTAAGGGCAATATCATACTGTTGAAGAGCCCCTGCATAATCCTTGACCTGAAATCTTTTATTTCCCTCTTCTTTAAGCTCGTGGGCTCTTCTCAAGAAAACTGAAGAGTCCAAATCAACACCACCATTAATAACAGGTGCATGATTATTTTCCCCTGCAGAAGCTTGGTTTTGGTTTTGGCTAATTGCACCCTTCTTTTTCCTACCCCCAGATTTCCCCATAAATTATATCACGACCTTCTGAAAACTCAAACTTCAATCTAGATAGTGCAAAAAGTACCAATCCTTGACCTTTACTGGCAAGCTAGAGGTATAAATTAATATCTTTTTCTAAGAATTGAGGAAAAATAAAGGGAGGAGAGAAACCCAATAATAAGCCAGAAGGGGATACTTACAAGAACTGAAGTTCACGCCTTTTCAGCAAAGAGCAAAAAAGTTGTGTCTGGGGATTGAAATGTGAAGAACCCAGAAGCTGTAATGAAGAAATGCTGGACTAGAGAAGATGGTTTTTGATGAAATGCATGATTGAGCAAAGTCGACCGATGAAAGATGGGGTTTTTGGAAACCCTAGATAGGAGAAAATCAACCTATTAAACTGAATGCCCTCCGCCTCCGTGGGTTCAATCTTCTGGTTGTGCTGAAGACTTGGTTATATGTATTCTCGACACTTGGCACTTGATCGACCGTTCATCACTGGATAACTTAGAGTACCTTAATCGTGCGAAGCAGATAGACCCTCTCTCCATACGCGATTTATGGAGTTTTTCACTTTTTCGCATCAAAATGAATAGAGTGGTTGTTTGGATTGTGGTTTGTTTGTCAAAATATATTTGTTACATCATCATTACAATTTTCAACACACCTTTTTATCTTTTCAATTATCTTTTTATCTCACATACATCACATCACAATAAGTGCTACAGTAAAAATATCTTTTATAATTCACAATCCATCCATCCAAATAATCAGGAGCTATTAAACTAATCAGGAGGTAAAGGGTTTTTTTTTTTTTTTTTTTTAAGGATCAGGAGATAAAGGTTTTCATTATTATTATTACATGTATAGTATGCATGAGACCGTTGAAATAAGTATATTTGGGTATGAATTCATACCAAATATGGCAAAAAGGCGTTTTTAATTAGAAGATTATTGGGAACAATACTTCAAGCATTTTGTGTGATACGATTTATACGAGATAAAATGATGATTAAAAATTACATTTATGATGTAATTTGAATAATATTTAAAAATTAATTTTGCAAATCATGCTAATTTCAACGTGAATTCTTTGAACTAAAGAAATTTCTATTAGAATATTGTTTGAAATTGATATTTTGTTATGACTACGAAATATCGTATATAGCCTTGTTCTTATAACTAGACCTACATTTCTTCTTCTTCTTTATGTACATTTCTTCTTATTTGTAATAGAAGTAAAAACAAAAAATTGGCGACACAAAGAACCTATATATATAAACCAAATAAATGCTTTCACTTGTGCATCTAATTTGCCAAGCGATTCAAAATCATTATTGGTATATTTGAGGAAATCTTTGGTGGTGAAAATGTAGAATCGAACAATTAAACAAGCATTAGTAGTTTGTATATAAGATTATGAGTCTTTATTTCCTATTTATTTTATTTTTTGTTGTGTCAAACAACAATCATGTTATGTTAATAGCGGGATAATACAAGATTAATTAAAAAGAAAAGCAACTGTCCTATTATATCATCAGGCACATTCATCCTGAGTTACACTACAGAAATATGATCCCGTTTGCGTTTTGTTATTTACCGTAGCGGTACAATGCATATAAGATTAAAAAATAATTATAAAATGTATTCACAGAAAATATAAAAATTTTTTGATAAAAGAAAAAAACTGCAATACAAACACAATCCAAGCTTCACAACAAATTTGCTAACGTGTGAGAACAAAAACATTTCATGTTACATGAACTATTGAATAAGTACATTATTCAAAACATTTCTCTTGTGGAAGAGTTCCGGTGCCGGAATAATCAACCGCATTATCTTACGTGATGGATGAATGAAGATTGAAGATTCTTTTATTTGCGGCTTTGGACTTCAGGGAGGGGTTAAAAAAAAAAATGCCCTACACTTATGATAAGGCCAATCTGGTAATTGCACTCCATGTTAGGGTTTGTGGGCTTATCATGCGGGGATGCCGCTATATAACCCCAACTTCTACCGCAGCTGTTTTCCGTCGCAAACTCGATCTTCATTATTTTGCCTCGCTCACTATAAGACTGAGCTGTAACCTTGATTGCTGGAATCAATTTTATGCCTTCTTTTTTTAAAAAAAAAAATTTTTTTTTTTGAGTTTTTTGTTCTACTTTTCATTTTGTTTTTGTTCCTGATGATGAGATTTACCGCATGATTTCTCTTTCAAATCAGTATATATAACTTTGAGAATCCTGTGCTCGTGAAATAAGAAAATGTGAGAGGCAAAATTTGAAAGCGTGCCTCGTCATTGAGAAGAGCAGCAGGTACAATAATGCTAGCGAGATATCGTTTCAGTCGTCATATCTTCAGATTGACGATTCGATTGTTGCTCGTTCACATTTCATTCTAATTTCTGAGGTTGCTTTTTTTGTTTTCCTTTTCCAATTTAAGTGCATTTGCTCATATAATTCTTTCTATAAGCCCATATTTGCTTGTTTGTGCATATTTGTGTGTTTGTATATATGCTGAAGAGGTGCGGGTGATGCATTAGATAAGATCTCTTTCTTCAGTTTGAACCTATATTTGTGTCTTGCATTTTACTGCATTGGGCACCATTTAAGGGGAGTTTAGATGAAAAACTTGCCAGTAGATATTCTCATGTTACTAGGTTGAAGTGATGATTGGAAATGTATAGAATAAGGAATTCTAGTTGAAAATGAGACTTTAAAAAATAAAGGTGGCACTGGGTTGAGAAAGGCTTTATTGATTTTTTTGGTTTGGATAGACTTTGTTTATTTTTTATGGCGGGGAAGGGAAGGGAAGGGAAGAGGGGAGGAGAAAAGAGAGGGAGAAGGAAGAAGGTGGGAGAGGAATGAGGAGGAAAGAGAGGGAGGAGGAAGATGGTGGGTGGAAGAATGAGATAGCGTAGATTTTATTTTTTAATTTTTTTTGTATAGTTGGAATTATTTTTGATATATTGTATAAATATAATGTTTTGGAGTTGTTTTTGTTTGTGTATTTCTTTAACATTATATATGAAAAACTTGTTTTTAAAAAAATGGAGAATACAATGAAGATGATTGCCGCGGCTCTCTTCGGCTGGAGTTGCGAAAGTTTCGTATTAATGTAGATTGTAACCGACGTCAATGTGCTGCCAGAGTTGTGAAGGGACCTTTTGGGTTATCAAAAAAAAAAAAAAGTATGACAGCAGGCAAAATCACTAGGATATAACAGCCCAACTTACCTAATCGGGGCTCTAATTCGCGCAACATGCTGAGAATTGGCATCTAATCATCAGACACTGCTAGCGTCAAAACTTCATTTCAAGCTAATGTTACTAGGCAATGAGAAAAGGTGAAAAACTCGATGTTCAATTCACTGGCATATCTTGTAACTGAATATAAATTCAAATTTTCGTACATTATAATGCCTCAGAAGACAAGGGCGGATATCGGCAGGGATGCTCTCCTCTCCCTTTTGAATGACTGATATTCGAAAAGCTTGATTGCCTGTATGTATGACTGATTTTGGAAAAGTTTGATTTCCTGTATGTACATCAGAATGGTGACGAAATGGAGACAGGTCAATATGTGGAAAATTGAACTGTTTTCTAAAGCTGCCATTCTATGTTCGTAACTAAAATTGCATATTGATTCGTGTCATCTTCAAGTTCCCATTTCTGACAGATAAAGAAAGCTTCAAGATTAAAAATGTTGTTTTAATACAAACGGAAGGAAACACCTACGCAATCAGTGAAATAAAGATGACCGACCCCCTTTAAGAACGATGATGAACTTCAAATTTTTTGGCTTGCACTTAAAATAAAGATGAGTCCAGGCAAAATGTACTAATGCGTGAAATGAGGCAAAATATTTCCTGCACTTGACGGAGAAGGAATTCAAGCAACAATGCGTTTCTGAAGGGCATTTTTCCACTAATTATTGACCCTTAGAACATGAAACAGGTACGCATGATTCCTTCAAGCTGGAGATTTCGAATAATTCAATGAATCTCTGGTCCGAAACTCTGGCTTTGTCAGCAGCAAACCTCTGGTACTCGTAAAAAATAGAAGTTAAGCACCATCTTTGAAGTTTTCTCAAGCATCCAACAAGACATCCAGTTCGGTGCTGCACAAATAATTAAAACAGCATTAGAAAAATGAACTCTTAATAGGAGGAAAGCAAAAGGTAAAAGAAATACCTTCCCACGTTTGCAATGTATTAGGAGGGGCCGGTTCTTTTCATCTAAACGGTGAACGTTCAAAACAAAAGTTAGTATATGATAGTGCAAAGACACAAACGCCTGTCCTACGAGAGAATTCAACACTGATTTTGTGTACCTAAGACAATTTCCAATGCTTCACGAATCGAATCCTCAGGGATGTTTACAAATGGTTCCTGTGCAAAGTATTGTTAAAGCTTTAAAACAAGCCTCTGTATGCACCGCGGAGAAAGATGTCATTGTATAAGAACCCTCAAGAGTTCCTACTTAACAGCAAACATGTCAGGTAACTATAGAAAGCATTCATCTTGGTTTGATACCAGTAAATCAAAGAAAAGATCGCAAATCTTTTGGCGTACAGCAGACAACCAACTTAACAAAAAATATATATATATATATAATCTTGCTGACTTTTCCTCCTATATTAAATTAGATAAAGTTAATAGTAAACCATGATATTCTGGAAGAGTAGAACCCTATATGTGACGGACTATGTAAATCTTAAGTGAATAACATGATTGGGTTTTGTACATCATAAGGCAATTGCTGTTAGTCTCCACCGGAGGAAAGAGGGAGACACGGGTAGATATACGTATGCCTACAGTCTAACCTTCTAAAGTAATACCTTGAGAAAAATGCCTCTCTCATTGCTCTACAACTTCTACAAGAGAGGCATCTGTACATACCTGGGTCTTAACGTACAATGAGTCATTTGCGAAATTCAAGCAATTTACCCTGCTGATTTTGAAGGAAATCGTCGTTTCATATCACCAAGACAATGAGAAGAGATGAACCATTAGATGATGTTAAGGTAGCTTTATAGAACCCAAACTTTTAAGTAGATCAAGAAGTTAACTCGTCTGTCAAAGCATTATCAAAATTTCTTTAGCTCCTCTAAAAACACGACCATAATTCAGCACTAGCTCCTCTGAAACATGATGAATATGTGATCACTGAAATAAATAATTAACCAAAGATTTTTAAAATACCTTCCCAACCTCAAACCACCGTATTACTCCTAAAACTGTCTTGAATGAATTAAAGAGAAAAACTGAAACATAATATAGCCTTTTTTTTTCCTTTTAAACAAACAAGTTGAGCACCTAAAATTTAGAGATTTTTCCTTCCTCAGGAATCTAATTGATAGCACCTTCATCAGTGTAGCCTCCAATACCTAGCCCCTAGCATCCTTTCTTTCTCCCAATCCAAACGACCAGCAAATTAACTCAAAAACGTACATCAACTTCCAGTAAAAGCGCTAATTTACACTACCAGCACATGCATACGCGCGCTCACGGACACACACACACCAAAAAAGAATAAAAACCTTTGATCCTTCAATGCCGAACTGAAAAAGCCGAATTCCGTTGGCTTTCAGAAACTCCGCATTCGCCACAGGATACGGCTCTGGACACAAGTATCTACAAGCACCGCCAATAAAATAAAATTAAAAAAAAATCAACTTTGTTAAACGAGCCAAAAAGAGGAAAAGACTAAAGCAGAATTATTGATCATAAATATCGGACCGACATAATTGAACGGAGGCCTAGGGTTCGCAAGAAGGAGAAGTTAGCAGGCTCTGGAAAACCGGACCGGAAAACACCATAATCAACCATAGAAAAATTCAGTGGCGGCGCGAGAAGCTCTTCCCCGGGGCTGTCGAAAGAATTCTTCTCCTGCGGCGAGTTATCTGCTTCGGCGGCGGTGAAAGACTGCAGTTTTGTAGCTCCGATCGCGTTTTGGCACATCGGTGTGTTATCGTAATCATAGGGCCCTTCAATTCTCATAGCTTTTCGCGCCAAAGTTAGTGAATACGGTCTCTTTTTTTTTCCAGTCAAAAAATATTCATCATGAATATTCAGTTGTTATTGTTTCGATTAATATAATGGTCAGAATATTCTGGAATTTATGGATTTGGGAATCAGAAGGAAGAATTGAACTCCAACCTATGCCTCCAACGACCCATCAGAGGTTTTCCCCCACTCCACAGCAGGGAAGGGTGAAGAGACCGGGGGCCAATAATGGAAATGCAAGTATAAATAGCGTCCCATTTTTTTTTCCCTATTTTCGTTCTTTTTTTTTTTTTTTAAGCATTCCTTTTTTCGTTCTTTGTTTTTGGTCAATTCGGTGGAAGACATTAGACAGCGTGACGCATTGTTTGGTCCCTTCTTTTTTTTTAAGGAATTGTTTGGTCCGTTTCACTTACGACTTGCGACTCAGCAGCATATTGCAGCAGTAATATTAGTTATCTTATCATAGCCGGGATCCGATTATATTCATTTGCCTGTTTCAAATTTTAATTTGGAGAAAGTATGGAAGATTATTGTTCAGATTCAGCCTCTTATGTTACAACGAATCCGGTTGTATGATGGGAAATGGGTAAAATAGATGATAATAGAACATTAAAAATATCTCAACAGTTACTAAATGTAAAAAGTAAAGGATAAAATCCGAACTTACATGTTAATTGATTGCAAAAAGAGTGAGGGTAATGAATTCCACTACTGCTCTTGTAAATTAAGGGCACGAAATTAAAAAAAAAATTCACCAAGCAATTGTAACTTTAAGTATTGTAGAACATAAGAACGAAAAAAATAACTATGCTAATTTCATCTATGATGATTTTTTTTTAGCATTGGTGACGCTTTAAAAAATAAAATAAAATAAAACCATGGGAAATGAGCGTGTTTAAAAGTGATTTGGCGATTGGCATTCTTAGTAGTAGAATGTGTGTGCCCATAGTTTTCAGAGTTTGATTCACACGCGTATGAACTATTATTAGAAAGTAGAAAAGCACATGTGAATTAGACAAATTATCGCTTCGATATTTAGTCATCTTCTTATGTCCTTCAAGCCAAGCCAGCGAATTTAGAATTCACAACCAAAGTAGGCTTAAAAAGAGAACCAAAGGTCCTGAGTCACATCCTTTTTTAATTTTGCAATACGAGAATCAGTCCAGTTTTACGATGTAGTCTTCTCTTATAGCAAGAAACTTAACGCAGACAAATTTCTCATCTTTCATCACTATCGTTCTAGAAGTTATTCAGCCAATAGAAGCACTTTTATAGTCCCTTGACTATTTGCGGTCAACATTGTCGGGCTGTCACTTTTCCAACACACGGCACTAATGAAGTAAGATCCTGCATCTTCATCCGCATCCTGTACATCTGAACCAAATTTATGCCAAGCAGCTGGTTTTGAAATAGCCTACAGGTTTAACAGCAACGTCAAACTAGGGCACCCCAAAATTCTTTCAAACTAGATGTATCATGATTACAGACAAGCTCCAGCTAATATGCAAACTTAAAGGTACCTTATGATAGACAAAGACTTCATTTGTTTCACTACCACAAGCAATGTATTCACTGTTCACGGTAAGACCCACAAAATTCTTTTCATTTGTGTGCCCTCTAAAAGTCCGCAGCTGAAAGATAAGAGCAGCAACACAAAGGTAAATTTAAACTTCCAAGCAAAATTTACAACTAAGGAGTCAATTTAGGCTTACAGAAAAACTTTACAAGCCAAGCCATCAAAATTGCTATCCAGTACGGTTACCCAAAAATAAATAAAATTTTGCAATCCAGCATGGTTTCTCATAGTAGTATACGTCCAGCCTTGACACTTGGTGCTAAAGCTCCAGCCTTGCACTCATCCAAGTCAGGATTTTATGAAAATCGCATGATTAAAGGCCATTAAGACAAGAACCACTACACTTGTAGCTAACAAAACCAAAACATACTCTCAAACACCATTTTAATGACAGAAATTGATGAAGTTCACAAAAGTTGATAAAACTGTTAGAAATTGGCATACTAGAGTTTAGATGCAACTAGCTTCTGCATATGTTGAGGAAGTTTACGCTCAGATATCGTTTCCTTAGACAAAAGAGTCTTGTTTTTCATTTATACAGGTAATGCGGCGATCCGGCTAGTTGGATGGTCATCTGTAGCAGTAACAATTTGAAATAGCACCTCTTTAAAAAGACTCCAACCCTTCGGACAATTTGCCTGCACTTTTATAGGGCTAAGGTTTGGTTTAGCTGTATCATGCAAATTCATAACACAGGTGCCTTTCTAGCACCATCTAAAATGAAGAGAGTATGAGCGTGGACGATACATGACTCGTATGCTATGCAATCTAAACCTTGGAGAGTATAAATTATTACAGGTGAGCAAATAGACAGGATGAACCTGTACCCGTACAAAAGAGGAAGACCTAAAACAAGAAACAAGTTTAGCACACCGAGAATGGGTTAACACCCAAACTCCTGAGAACACCCAAAATCCGAGCTGGCTCTGTTTGGATTGTAAATTATTTGAGATATTTTTACTGTAGCACTTTTTGTGATGTGATGTATGTGAGATAAAAAGGTAATTGGGAATGTAAAAAGGTGTATTGGAAATTGTAATGATGATGTAAGCAAATATATTTGGCCAAATAAATTGCTGTCCAAACAATATAACTTGGAAAAACTAGGGCAAAATTATAACAGATGAACTCTTTGATTAGCCAAATAACCTCTTAAAAGAAACCATCAAGAAGCAACAGTGGACAAGGACGATATAAATCCACACTACAGGAAAAAGGTTACGGAATAACTTTTGACTTCATCAAAATGAGGCAACTTGAAAGAGAAAATTGGACTTTCAACATTCAGTTATCTGCAATTTAACTGCACGATTTACCATGAGGAACAATCATAGCAATCTTGTTTTATGAGGTAATCAGCATTATAAGAATATCAACTTACTGGGATATTTTCCTTAACATCCCACAAGCGTAATGTGCTGTCAGTAGATGCAGAAGCTAGTTCACTGTTGGACAAAAATTTGACATATGAAACAGCTTTCCTGTGCCCACTGAAAATATGCACTGGTTGACTTGTATTTCTCAAGTCATAATAATGGATGTGATGGTCAGCTGAGCCCACCTACAAGATGTATTACACGGACTTTATATGCCTAGTAAGAGTAGTAGTCACTGAACATGACCAAAAGACACAGGGACTTACTACTATGTGGATGCTAGATCCAGGATTGTACTTGACCGAACATATGTTAGCTTTCATGTCAATGTTAAGAACACTGGCTTCTTGATTCGTGCACCAAATTTTGACCTGTTGGACATTCGACAAGTTACCGATTATTGGTCAGAGAACATAAAAGAAAATCGTTAGTTTTCTTTTGTACTTTCATTTCAATAAAAGATCTTTACAATTTGGGATTTGCCAATTTACAAAAAAAACACATACTTCAATTCTTGAAAGTGAATAAATGATAAAACATCATTTGAACAACAAGATGTTATTTGAATTGAAGAGACCATGAAAGAGCAACTTGCAGAAACCATAGAGCTGTTGCTTTAATAAACCCAATCTCACACATTAAAAAGCCAGCCAACTGTAAAAGTTATTGAAGAATTACTACAGTCATATAAAAGCACGGAGTAGAAGAGCTACTACCCAAGAGAAATCAAATATAGATGAGATTAGTGTCAGTCTGTCAGATCAAGTACAGAAATGGTGAATGCATGAAGTTTATCCATATTTTGGTCAGCACATGCTAATATGAACAACTTTAAGGTACTGCTTCTGAAATATATGGTTGAAAATTTCAGATAAGACCACTCAAGAGTCGAGAGTTATGTTAAATTTGAACTGGATTTAAATCTAGACCTATCAAATTATGGGAATAAGATATTTCCTTATTCAAAATGCGCAGAGTTTCAACCATCATAAGGACAAATATGCTATTTCCTGTTAACCTAATCACCATGTGTGACCCAGATTCAGACAAACCACAAAGTTTCAACCTTCTTGAATAGCCTGGGTTGTCTATGAGCAAGTTTTTCCCTGAGAAAGCTTGGATTAAAGGCTAAGATTAGTCAATATTTCTGTCAAAGTAGGTTCAAAGGCTTCCAGAAGTTAACAGAAACCCCTCAGTACATTATCTTAAGATGGATGCGGACACAAAAGAAACACAAGCAGCAAATTTTACCTACAACCTGACAAGGACTCAATAACTCAAAAGTAACTATCCATGGGCGGAAGTTTCCACCATTTATAATTTACAATGTATGATATTGTTGATATTCCAGATATCCAGCCATATGAAGAGAATCTAAATATAGGCCTCCAGTCCTGTGCCAAACTAAGACATATACGAACAGGCATTTGCCTACAGCAAGCCATTTTGTCACACAAAGAAACATATAGCAATATACTGGCGTCCACATACTTAACAAGTACCTTGCAGTCATCACTCCCGGATACAAGCATGGAGGGTTCAGTACGTGAAAAATCAACACTCCATGCTCGTTTTTCATGCTCCTCATACTCCATCACACTCTGAGCAGAAATAGTTTCAAATCTTAAATCAAATGAAATTAGGGAAAAAGCAAAAGCAAAACTCAACACCAAAACTACCTGATGGGTGGTCACATCCCAAACAGTCACTATACCCTCATAATCACTACTGGCTATGTGATTTTTTGTGTACTTGTTCCAGCTGAGACAACTGAGCTTGGAACGAGTGGACATTTCTGCAATAGGACATGGGACATCTGCTGGTTCATTCACCACCTACAAAGAGGAAATCACTACAAGCTTGGGAAGTGATCTTAGAATGTTATCATCAACTTCATAACAGAACAGTTTAGGAATATGACAATGTGATCATCCATGATGAACTTGCTCAGTAAAGAACTTTAGTCAATACAGAAAAGCATGAAATCCTAAAAATACAAAGATAAAATAAGCACTTGACAATAAATAATGGACAGTAAAAGGAGATGTTTATGTATTCATAGAAATTATTACTTGAAGAAGTAAGAAATAACACAATTGTAAGAACAAAATAGCACAATTGTAAGACCAAATTTTAATGATTACACCAGGTATGCAGAGCAACCCAACCTCAAGATGAAACACTATACAAATCTCAGAAAGCTTTGCAATTCAAGAATGCAATCCCAATCTCCAATTTAGAACGAGAACCACATACAAAAAATTCATAAACTTCTATACCAAAACTCAAAAGCTGCTAAACCTTACCGATGAAAATTCAAACACTTTGATACGCCGTGAAACTCCAGCTGTAGCAAAGAGTTCATCATCACGATCAAATTCTATACTGCAAAAAAGGGAATAGACAAAATCCCCCAAAAAAATGAAAAAAAAAGGCAGCTGTCAGGCATCACAGAAACACACGATCACTAGTAGCAAGAGAATATAGTGCAGGAAGTTTCAACTACTGCACAATATGTGATCACAGCGACCCCCTCAAACTCCCTCAGGAAACTTATTAGCAGTTCCAAAGTGAATGACGGCTCAGATTAGGAGGTGTGAGTCTAAAACAAATTAGGGCAGCCAACTCAAAAAATTATACAAAGAGAAAAAACAGGAGCGTCTCCCAGCAGCTATGTATTTGAAAGTACAACAAAAGGATGTATCAAAGCGATATTGTGACTCTGCCATCATAGATTGAACGTCTATGGCACAGTTGGCCTGATGATCAGTTAACACGCTACCAATATGTCAAGCAGCACCATGAGCAAGGAGCCATTTATCCACATTGAATTAAGAAATTATCCAAAACAAGCAGATAAAAAAGAAAAAAATGTGACCAGAAGTGACAGTAGAAAAATTTTCTAATCAATGATTTTCTCACACAATCAGTTGGATTTTAGTTAGATCTATCACCAATACAAAAGGGATGTGGTGCAATTCCACCAATGCTGCAAGTTAACTCTGTCACACTTCTTTGGCCAGAAACTCACATGACACAGGGACATGGTCAGCAAGGTTCAGTACATTGAGCTCATAAACCAAAGTTGCACTTTGTCACCAAGAAAAACTAGTGTAGAACTGAATGTAAAAATAACATTTACCTTGAAACAATATTGGCAGAGTGAAAAAGATCTCCATGCCTAAGTTCTGCAACAACCCGCAACCGACTATAGGAAATCAAACACGAGGGAAAAATAAATTAGTTGTCTGAAAAAGAAGGCATTTCTCAAGATGATGAGTTCTACACAAAATATGAGGAGACAACACAGTATATATGTAAAGGAAAAGAAAAAGAACCTGTATCGTGTAAAGGTTGAGAGCACAGTCTGAAAATCTTCAAGCCCTGTGCTGTAACCTTCTCTTCTGTCTCTTTCATCCTTTTTTTGGGATTGTCTTGTCGAGGACCGTCGCCTTTGCATATAACAGTCTTGAAGGTCATTGAACTGTGCCACGAATGGAGAGAAAAGTAAAAAGAGATAGAGAAACTAGAGTTTTCTTTCCAGCATGCTAAATGAGACTTGTACAAAATTGCAAGTAAAAATAGACAATCTGATTAGATAAGTAACCTGTGCATGGACTCGCTTCTTTCTTGCTACAAGAAGTCCTGATTGAGTTAGCTGCTGTGAATCCAAGTCACTGTTAGCATCCTTTATCTGGATTATCTGAGAGCCTGAAGGGGTTTTCTCATCAGCTTTCCAGTTATGTGAAGTACTGGAACCCATGTGGCACTGGCTCTGTGGACCAGGAAAACAAGGTAGCACACCACCACCACGTTTTTCAATCAAAGAGGGCCATGATAATTTTGCACGAGGATCATCACCAAGCATCCTTACGTTTGTTAAATATCTATCTCTGGACCGGTATAATTCTATTCCATGTCTCTCTACAGAATTTATATCCTCCTTAATGTACTGGAGGTCAGTTTGTAACTGTAAAAGATGACATGACAAATAGACAATCATTAATTTGTTAGCATGAAGCGTTAGAGTTAGCGAATGTATTATGAATCTCTATCGAATTGCAATGGCATAGCATGATAAGAAGTCAAACAAAAGCTGTGCGACAAGAAGAGATGAAAGCGGCCTCCCACCCCGCAACCCAAAGTCTCCTTCGTGCAACAAATGAGCATCTCACTTCCGTAGAAAAAAAAAATGTCAACTATCAAAGAACTCAACAATAAATTCAAAATAGAAATGAATGGAGCAAGTTTGGTACCTCATTGAGCTCTCCAAGTTTTTGATTTCTCAGACAATGCAGGAAATCAAGCATAATTTGCATATTTGTTTCAGCTTCTTGTTGCTCCAACGTTCTTTTCTTCTCAGCAAGAAAAGACAAGAGACTGTCAAGCTCCTTTACTGACACCTCATATCCCTGTCTAAGAATCGGACTAGAGTCATAATCCAACAGTGAAATTTCAGCAATCTGAAAAGAAAATGACAAAGTAGCAATACAGCCAAAAACTGCATTCATGGACCTAGAGAGAAGAAGAAAAATGAATAACACCATATTCGTCAACATAGAATACAAATTTAATAGGAATGTACAATCATCTCTTAATCTCATCTCTTGTAAAGAGAGAGAATTTTTGGACAAGCAACTCCATATACTTCAATCATTCTACTAGGTGGAGCAAATGGCTTCATCCTATTTTGTTAAGAAAAAAAATGCAAAGGATTTACAATAAGCCTACCAAAATCATCGGAACTGTTTCTAGTACAAGCTGTATCAAAACCCAGAATGCACTGACGTTGAACATCTAAATGATCAAACAAAATATTAAATCATTATCTCCATTTACCAGAATTTGAAGTCATAACGTGAAGATACATTAAATAGCATATCTAAACTGTGACAGTTCAGCAAAATACCCACAAACCTGTGCTGAAATATCACTGGGTTTTAATAAATCTTGTATATATCAAAAAGCTTCATGGAATGTGAGATACAGAGTTCATTAGAAGTACTTCACTTGCAAAAACATCCTACATGACTTTTTAACCAATCATCGCATCCTTCCACTCATTGAAGGACCAAAAGTCAAAGCACAAGGAGAAGCGTGTAGCATGCAATGGAAGATGCACTACCAAAGAAGTTTGTAGAAATGCCTTCAATTTCTAGGAAGTGGCATTACCAGCAAGTAACTTTATCAAAAGACTTACCTGTTGTAATGCCTTATGAAGTTGTTCAGCTGGAGTAGCAGTCTTGGCTATTTGGCAAGCAGAGGCTTTCATCAATAACTGCAAATATACAAAAATGTTCCAAAGCAAGCTCAACTTCAAAACGTGCAACAAGTTATAATTAGAAATTCCAGCATAATTTCAGATGAGAGAGAAGTATAAAAGTAGAGCCTCATCTTTCTAAAACCAAATAAGGATTATTCAAGATAGCTAGTTTCAGAACGATGGTTATAAATAAGCCTGCAGAAACCACATAGATCAATTTTTGCAACTTTACATGACCATATTTTCAATTGCCTAGAGTATTTTCCAATACAAAAAGCATGGATATAATTCGAGTCAGCTAGCATTCTGAGAAGCTTATTGAACAAGGTCCAGATATCAGTAAACATCTTTGAAGCATCTTCAAAACTTCAATGGCTGAATACTCTGAGCATTTTGCCCAGCATCAATTGAATCTTTTCCACTAAAATTAAAGTAGCATACGATCATTCCTAGTTCTTCAATTTGAATTCCAAATATTAACATTCATTTCGTCCCCAGCAAGCTTCCTCTTTATGTGTCTCAATATGCAATTGCCAGAACCAATTCCTCCCCCATCCCATTTCTTGCAAAGAGCATTTCAAAATAGGACAAAGCCAAATCAGGTAAAAATGTAAACAACGAGGTGAGGAAGGAAGGAGGGAACAAAGGAAAATAAGAGCGAAGCTGGTGTCCTGAAATGAGAAATCATGTCAGTAGCTAACTCAACCCCCACGACGGTAGTGATTTTAGTTGACCTGTCAAGAGAAAACTGGAGTGGAGTCCAACTCTAACACCGTTCTCTGGCAGACGACAATTATGGTGACGTATAACTAGAACCAGAGTATCCAATCAAAAAGGATAGGGCGAAATCCCACCGAAAACAGGATAATTAATAAGACTCACGAACGCAACAAACCAACCGACGCTGATACTACGCGTGGGAAAGAGAGAAGCCAAATCAATACCAAAAAATTTGATCTGACATGATAAGGACCCATCACCGCCTCAGGAAATTCATCAGCATTTCAAAAAATGAAATGCAGACAAACTGCCCCAGAAATCGCAGAAAACAATTTTCTACCGGCTAAAAAGAAAATTCCAGACGCATTTACGGAATTATACACTAAAATTCTCATTTGTAGGCACAAAACTTCCTTTGTATACAGTGAGTGCATGTTACGGTGAAGATAAGCAGCTGATACATTAACAGATGCAGGCAAAATTTTCCTAAAAAAAAAAAAAGAGTGACAGAGAGAAAGTAATCTAAGACATGCCTTGTTGAGGAGGAAATTAGGGTAGAGATGATTAGGAGTGAGGAAATGAGAACAGCACGGGCAATCGCTCTTGTTCTGCAAATGCGTGACGATACACATGTAACAAAAGCTGTGTCCGCAGGAGGTCAAAAACGCGTCCTTAATCAGCTGCATGCATATCGGACACAATATATCCCTGTCCGGCATCGCCAACTCCTCTTCAACCGCCATCGCCTCCGGTTGCTGCTGCTCCTGCTCCCGCTCCCCTGCGGCTGCATTATTATTGCTCCCAAGCTCCGATTTCACCGTCGGCACTAACGCTCCGATTGACGAACTCTCGCCTCCCATTCGCGCGCACACACACACACACTGATCAGACGTCTCTCTTTAATCAATATATATAAATCAATCCTCTTCCGGACAACTGAAAGAAAGGAGAGGAAGGTCGGTACTTAGCAGTTTGCGAGGGTGTGTTGACTGTTGCGCGCTGCAATAGTGCAATGCAAACTCATTTATTAGTCACCTCTCTGATGGAAGTCATGGAACGTGGAGCGAGTGGCATAGCTTGGGTTTAAGAGGGGACATTTGTGAGGGTGGAAACGGACCACGTTAGGCGGGAGCGGGCACTCCTTCTCTTTGGCCGTCCTATACTCCTATTTCCTATTTCCTCCTGCTGCCGCCGATCGAGGCCGTCTGTGGAGCTTTCAACGAACGGCATCAAGCCGAATATTAAGGCCTTGTTTGGATTGCCAGTTTCCGTCGAAAAATTACGTCGTTTTTCGTGATTACATTTCCCTATTACCTTTTTCCCTCAGATACATCAATTCGCTACAGTAATTTTTTCATGAAAAATCACGGAAAATGCAATCCAAACACAACCTAACGTGTTTAAATAAGTATTATTTAAATTTGATTCATTCGAATGTTTTGTGTCTAACCTCTATTCAAATGAGTATTACTTAAATTTGATTCGTTTATTTGTATAAATATTTAGCAAACCGAATATTTGGTGTTCAAACTCACCTATTATATAAACATGGTTTGAATTTGACTTAAATATTAAATCAAGGTTTGATTCAGCTTAAATATTAAACTAACTAACTATACGCATTGTTTCGATTCTTTTATTTGTATGAATGAATAACATTTGATGGATTCAAATATTTGGTGTTCAACCTTTGTTCAAATAAGTATTATTCAAATGTGATTCGTTTATTTATATAAGTTTTCAAGTTTGAGTTTGAGTTTAACGAGTTTGAGTTTTGAGGTGATTTAATTATATTTTAAATAAATAATACATTATTCAGAATAAATTTAGTTGTATTTTTTGTCTTAAAAAATTAAATAATACTAATTTATGTATAATTACCTGTCTTAGTAAAATATGATATACATGTAATAATGTTAGACGTATTTATATTTGTATTTATTTTTATAATTATATAAATATTCACGAACTATTCGAATAATACACGAACAAATTCGTGTTCGATTCGATTGTTGAACGAATCTAATATATTGTGTTGACGCTCAATTCGTGCATTTTGGAATTCACAAACATGTTCGCAGATGATTCAATTCATTAGAAACGCTAGCCGTGAGGCCTTTATTTGGCTTTTACGATTCCTCCCTAGGGGTATGTGCCTTAAGCAATTATACTAGTGTCATTCTGGTCTGACGGCGCCGTTTTGTTTTCGTAGGGATTCAGCAAAGTTACGAGAGAGCCATGGTACTAGGACTGCAAACGAGTCGAGTTTTGTCTTAATCGAGTCGAGTCTCGACATAATTTCATTGAATTCGAGCTCGACGAGCTGACAATTTCAAACTCGAGCTCGAGCTCGACTTGATTTGAGTCCGAAAAAAATAAAAAATAATTATTTTATTTTTTAAAAATTAAATAAAATAATATTTTTTCCTAATAAATAATAAAATATTAAGAATATATATATAATTTTACTATTAAAATAAAAAATATATATACTTAAAATAATATATATATATATACTCGAACTCGCGAGCTAACGAGTTTAATATTTTGAACTCGATTTCAAGTCGAGCTAGCTCGAACTCGACTCAAGTTCGAGTCGAGCTTGACTCGAGCGGCTCGATTCGTTTGCAACCCTACATGGTACTAACCTAAATTGCTAACATTACCCTAAGTTCCTAACATGAATTTTAGGCAAATGGCAAAAAATGAATTCGAGTAGCATCACGCACACAGTTTACTTGTAAAAATCCCACACTGTGATTTTTAAAGTTACATACATATATAACTATAACTTAAAATTTTGTAAAAATATTTGTCACTTTGTCAATAGTTTATTTGTATCACTTGATGGGAAGTCATTATTGTAAATAAAAGATCTTGAATTCGAAACTTTTCACTTACAAAAATAAAACGAAGAAACAAACTTGTATCACTTGAAATTTTAGAACTTTGTGAAAATATTGGCAAATCAAAGGCAAAAATACTTAATATATAGGAATAAAACATTAAAATACAAAGGAAATTGGAAAATCAATGACAAAAATATTTGTAACTGCCTTTCCAGATCCCCACCTTTCTCTTGTCGCCGATGAAAATTACTACCTGTAGAATTTTGCGTGCCGCAAAATTGGGATATCAAAATGAGAAAACTCTTCTATTGGGATTATTCGGTTTGTCAATTACATCTTCGACAAATGGAATGAAGTTTGAGCAAATAATTCACCTGTTATGGAATTAAATTTAGAGAAAGATTCTTCTTCTTCTTCTTCTTCTTGTCGTACTTTTTTTTTTCCCTTCTTCTCGTATTGTGGGTAATTAATACTGTAACTAATTATGAGATGATAATTCAAGATTGGTGGTGTAATTAAGTTGGTCGTTATGGTTGGTGTAGATATTTTTGGTGCGTCATTAAAACACAAGCTTCGCGAAAATCGAATTGTAAGTGCACCTTAATCCCTTGAGGTCGAAGAGCAACTCCCGGAATTTAATGTGGCCCCACGTCCTCGATTCCGTGGTTCAAATTAAGCTCAGATTGAATTATTTGCAAAAATTAGGTAAGCTGATGTTGCTAGTAGTTAATTTTAACTGTTCAAGTAAGTAATAAAAGTATAGATTTTGTCGGAGTTATGACCGTTACGTCGTTTGAATAGAAGATTATTTAAAATAATTTTTTGTATCATTTTTTTGATGTGATATATATGAATTAAAAAAATATTTAAAAAATATGTTGACGATGTAAACAAGTCAATGTGTGTAAATAGAGTATAAATAATATGCAATAATATGATTTTTATCAATTCTTTAAATTGGTAGTATCTGTTTCTTCTTTTATATATATATCAAGCTTAATTAGGAGAACCAAAAGGCAATCAAGAAAGTGATCTCATCTCATGAGTAGCAGTCACCAAGCAAAGCAATGTCAGATTTTTTTTCTTTTTTAATAGGAAGATCAACAGTGATTGCTCATTTATACCTTTAATGATGCGAAACGACCTATTTTTTTTTTTTTTTTGTCGAAACGTTAGGTGATTTTATAGATAATAAACCTTTACATATTCAAATAAAGACTCGAGAGAACTTTACATCCAGTGTACCCTAACATTGAGAAATCCAAAATTCCTGATCTTCGATGAATTCTAGCGCTTGCACGCTAATCCAGTGACTAATATGGCTAATCCAGTGACTCGAAACGACCTATTGATTACAAGTAACTAGACTATGCTTCGCTATCAGCCTTGGTGACTTGTTCACCTGCTTATCCATGCAAATATCACGGCCGAGCCGTACAATCCTCAAATTCTCTTGACCTCACATTTGCTTGATTGGAAAACGAAACGGCAAATTGACATGAAAGCAAGTTTGACAATAGCAATTGTTACCAGTACTGAATGCTATCCAGAATCATTAAATCTTATATCGTCGGAGATATTTTTCCACCAACGCCCCTAAGTCATATGATTCGGGTCCTCAATATTCGGTTTGTTTTATTTGTCTCTCTTATTGCAATAATTTGTCAGAATTTTCCATACGGAACTTGGATGCTGGGGAGGATAATGAATTTCTATCACCACAAATGAACTGTATTCATAGCATATTTTTGGCAAAAGCTGTTAAAAGAGAGCATATTATTAAGCTATTACCCCAGCATAATTAGCGCGTCCTTTGTTCTATTGTGTGGTGGATTAAAAGCTATGGGAAATTAAACTTGAAGATCTAGTTAGCCTAAAAGTTGTTAAAAGAGAACTCCAAATTAAGAAGTATTTGACCGACGGATTATGCTTTAAACGCGTCACTCCTTTCGATTATTGTAAATGTAACCGTTGATAAACAGTGTAATACTTTTCGAACAGGTTGTAATTCAACACAAACCATTTAGACAGATTTATAACATCATGTTATAATCAACTATTGTTCATGTGAGATTGAAAATGTCAGTTACATCAAAATCATATGTCGTAATCTGAGCTATACAATTTCAAAATTTGTACCGATGGTTGAATCCAGACCGTAGATTATTTGGGACGGTTGCTCCCTGTCCATCGTCATAACACTCAAGGAAAAAAAAAACAACACCGGAGCATCTTGGACAATACATGAACAAATACTGTAACATCTTTTGTGATGTGATATATATGAAACAAGAAAAAGGACCGATACAAACAGCACCATATATTCCTTCAAATATGTATATTCTTTTACAAAATACAAGCAAGGATCTCAACAAATTTTACTGCATTCAAAGTTTCCTTCAAATTTTCGCACTTCATCAGCAACAATTTGTTAAGCTGTGTTACCGGGCCTTGGCTGTCTTCTCTACTGGGTCAGCTCTGGACATAAATTAGGACCATAAGAATAGGATTTCTACAACTTCAGATAAGTAACAGAGCTTCTGCAGGCAGTTATTACTATCACGTTGAAGATTATTTAAAAAAAAAAAAAAAAAAAACCTATATATTAACTGATTTCTTTTCCCTGTGAGTATGCTATAATCACCATTTCATTGAAATACAAGTGCGCCAATTCTCAGACTTCATATACTATATAAGCTTCAGTTTACTTGGGGCCTGAAACAGATTTTGTTATACAATCTACAATACCTTCACAATCAGCCTGGGGTAGGCCATAACCTGCATCTTCTTCACACGCATCATCTGTATACGAGTGAGGAGAGCGAAGGCCCCCATGAGTTTGGCAGGCCTTCATAGTCTTGCAATGCTCGGCTTCATCGTCTCTGATGTTCAGAAACACATCATACATGTTCTCTGCAGATAGACATTGAAGTAACCAACAAATTATGCTAAATTTAGATTCCTTAATTGGTGTTCTTGAAAACAATTACTTGGAAAGATGCTGACTCCACTGCATAAATCAAGTTACAAATCACTTTAAATTTCTAGCAAAGCACTCTTTGCAAGATTCCATGAAAGGGATGACAAAAAAAATAAAGTATTATACAGAGATTCTTATTCAGATTGCGTGAAAGCAAAAATAAGTTAACCAACAAGCCAATACGTATATATATATATATATATATATATATATATATATGAAGCATCATTTACCTATCTTTGGCCTTCGAGAAGTAGGCGGTCTTGCGGTTTGAAATTCATCTGACAAAATCAGATAAGCATTTAAGATCAGTACAAAAAAACAGAGCCTAATAGACAACATCAAAGAACTTACCAAACAAGTACAAGTTCCCCTCTGTGTAATACTTCACGGCAACATTTGATGCTGGTAGTTTCTTCAATTGCTCTACATGTCAAAACATTATGATAGCATTACTCACCTTCGCCAAACTTACCAAGAAACGAATAAAAGTTAAATTGTCGTAATATAACATGAAAGTTGTATTTATTAGAAAAGTTAAACATGCACCAAGTTCAATAGCTTGCATTTGACATTTGAAAAGTAAACCAGCTATTAAAAATTGTAGTACTGAAAAGATAAACAAATTGATGTCCATAGCTTCACCTAGTATGGGAACAAATTGACCTCCAAATTTTTGACAAATCTACTCGTGTGGATTTAATCAGGAAAACTTCACTTAGTGTGATAGATCCTAGAGTTTAGGCAGATTTGATGTGTATTATCCAAATTCAATAAAAAATTGAATATATGAATTAGAGAGACTTGTATGAAACTTATATGTTCCAAATGCCTAGCCAAGTTATCAAACCAAATCATGTTCAAAGATCAAATAAGCAACATAATTTCAAGCTAGTATTGTTATCTCGACAACTTAGTTTGCACAAGCAGTATAACACCGATCTTACGCTACCTCCTTGATCCTTGATAAATTTGTCATAGGTTTCAAACGCATGACTTTCCACGCACTCAGAAAAATGATCTGCAGCAACAAACAGACAAGATATGAAAATCAGCTCGATCAATTCTATCATGAGATTTCCTGGTTGAAACTTTATAATTGCCACTTTCCTACACACAGGATTTTGGTGCACTTTCAGGAAATCTACGTCAAAAGGACAGAAAATTTGTGGACAGAAATATGGAGCCACAAAAGTATAATGAAGTATGGAGGTTTGCTTGCATTGTTGAACAGGTCGCAAAGAAAGAATTACAGCAGTTACTACACATAAAAGCCAGCTACTTACACGCCATCCTTGGGCTCAGCATATACATAAAGACTGTCATAAAGTAGTAAAAGACTGCAATATGTTGAGCTAGAAACCGGTCAAACCACCAAGAATTTCCACCCAGTTCCTGTCGTAGAACCATCAGAGTTGTAAAATCAAAGCCAAAAACTACATAGATGAACTGAATAATCTGAACTGAAATGCACTGCAAGTAGGTCTTTGTGCTCATAAAAATCTCAGCAATAGTATGTGTAGGACCTTCAATTTTCACCACCAAGCGTTAAACTCCCAATTCTGAAACAACTCGAGACAGAAAAATTTATGCTGAAGACTTAACTTGTACGACTAGAAAACTAAAAACATCTTTTACTAAAATAAATTTATATAGGATAACAGCACGTAACTAACCACCCTATAAAACAATGCCTACCCCCAACTTACAGCGAAAACTGAGTTCTGCTTATTCATTTCCTTCTTTTTTTTTTAATGAGCAAAACATGCACTTGACAGTCCATTCCCAAAAGCATCCCTTTTATGCCAGACTCTACTAGGATGTGTTTTACATGTTCTTTTCCTCAACATTGAGCCTTTAAATCTATGACTAGTTACCAAAATGGTAACAAGTTTGGAGTTTACAGCAAGAGGGTATGTTTTCAGGCACAATGACAATTTAACTAAGAGATGAATAAGGTAGATATTTATCCAGTTAGAGCAACAATATTAGCCTTTCTTACCATGATTTACTTTTTCTTGAAAATTTGGAATTTCCAAGCTAAAAGAATTGATGTGATAAGAACCAGTTTCAAGAGAAAATCTTCAATTAGAGAAATAGTTCCCAATTTTCGAAGGGCAATGCTTCAAACTGGTAAGAAAGGAAAGTAAGTAAAATTCTTTGTGTTAAGAACTAAAGACCTAATGAAGTTCGTAGCAAGAGCCTTACTTCCATTATGAGCAGATGGTGCATCTCATTCCAGCTCTCTGCAAAATGAACTTTCAGATAATCTGCCCTTCTCCACCAACCAAAACTCTCATACAAGTGCAGAACAGACATGAAAGCTGTCATGACACATAAAGTATCAGTCATTACCAGAAGCAGTGACCATGGCATGCTGTAACTTTCCCACAACAAGATTGCATCTTTCTTTTCAGTAAGTTTAATATCTTAATGCAAACAGTTTCAATAGCAACTATTAGAAATGCAAAGTACTAAATTAATCAGTTTAGCCTACCACATATACCCTATCTACATATACGTATAAGTTAATATGTGGTCCTTAGATTATAGTACTTGTGCTCTTTAAGGATTTTGGTTCAATTTTTTCAATTGGATCATGCTCTTCAAACAAAATACATAGCCACATTCTTTTTCACAGCCTGCTTCACCAACACTGGAGACAAATGAACAGGCTCAAATATTCGCATAAACTTCAAGGTAACAATAATTTAGCCCAAAAAATTGGACCTCAAGCAAAAAGTGTGTTATAAGAGCGCTCCAGGTCCAGTAATTGCAAAAAGCAACTTCAAAGGCTTTAACTGAAAATTCAGCAACATAAAAATTTCTAAACATTTACCAAAGTAGGGAACCCTTGCAATAGTTTCCAGAACAAAAAACCTCGCGTAATGTCGATCATGATACAAGGTGTCAAGTATCTTTATCACAGAGTCCTGCACAAGCACACAAAATTTTATGGTGCTGTTGGCATAATAAATTGCAGATGGAAAAGTAAAGTTAAAACAAACAGCCCCATATTTAGGGGGGCTCCGTCTTTCTGGCTTGCTAAACCTAGATTCCTTTCTGCCTCACATGTATAAGAGTACACACAAAGTTTCATTGCCACACAAAGTTCTCATTTTTCTTCCTGAACGTTGCAAACCACATACAGGAAACTCTAAAACAGCGTAAGAGAATCTAAAAGTAAAGACTTTAACAGGTATGGGCAATAGAGATCTGCCCATTTATATAGGAGAAACTGATGCAATGTGTACCGTGAGAAAGATATTTATGGATTGCTCAATCTTTACAACCCATTTCTCCAAACCACTAGAGGATGAAGCATCAGGTGGCTCTCCGTTTCCTCCTCCTCCATTTTCAGGGTAACTTTTCGATTGAAATGATTCTTCCACCACCACTTTCTCTTCATCCTCTTGCAACACCGTTGCTTGGACTCTAAACGAGTTCCTACATTGAAATTTTGAAGTTACGCAGAATTAACTGATAGAACAAGCACTATGATACTAAACCTAACCAATTAAGTAATCGGGGTATAATCTTTGCTCAAAAACAAATTTTTACACCCTTTAACTGCAGACTCGAGTTTACTTTAACACACATAATAGAAATCATATCCAAGTCCCAATTTAAAACATTGACAAAATTCAATTTAAAGAACAGAAAGCAGTAAACCAAAGCTTCTATTCCCATCAATCCCAATATCAACAAAAAAGTTTCTAATAAAATGAAGACAGCTCATGATAATAGAAAACAAAAACTGAACTTTGACGATGTCTTTGTTATTTTTCACCTCAATTCTAATCTTTTACAGACAACCAAGTATAACCTTGAACTAAAACAGAAACCATTAAAAGGCTAACAAGAGAAATAGCATATGGTTTCGACAAAGACTAAAATCTCGAAATTCACAAAATTTACCTGGAGAGTGGACGTTGAGAAGCAGCATGCCTATGATGAGGTGAAGTAACAACGTTTAAACCAGAAGGGGTATGAGAATTTAACACAGTGGGCGCATTTCTAAAACTCCTTATTTTCAAAGAAGTAGAAGATGATACAGAGATTCCTAACACCACAGAAGACGTTGATGTCGCCATGTTTGTGACTACTAAGACCCTCTCTCCCCTTCTGTTTGTTTATATAGGTGGTGAAAGAAACAGGAAATTTGGAGTTGAATTTGAACTTTCACAAATAAGAAAAAGGAGGATATGGTGGAATCGAGAGGGACGTTGATGGGAAAGAGCCTCAAGAATTGAGGTGTTTCTTATATTTATGCTATCCTTGTCCTCGTTAGGAATTATCGTAGATATTTTAGCGGGCGCTTTTGTTGTTTATCGCTGACTGAGATGGCTGTTCTCACCGGGGAAATTTCTTTGGGGATAATTTCACAAACCTTCCCAAAAATTTATGACAATTTTAAGTAGCGCCTTTCTCATTTCAAATTTTACACTTTCTTTCATTTATAATTTAGGTGACTACCATACCCTTAACATTATTTTATACTTAAATACAAAAATTTAAAAGAACTTAAAAAAAAGTGAGAAGGCACTCACACTTTCAAGTTTTTTTTTTATTTCCTCTTCCATCCTTAACCTCTAGTTAATCCAATGTTTCAAAATCTTTTTGTCAAGTCTCTATTCTCTTTCTCTTGATTTAGCGTCAATATCATTGCAATAACATTTGTAGCACAGTAATTAGCCTCCAACACTATTACTTTTTTTTTTCCCTTAATTCTCGACTACTTTCTTTCAACAAAGCTAATGTAGAACTTCTAGTTTCAATTATCAAAATTAAAAAGCAAGATAGGCTTTCAAAGTTGAAATTTTGATACAAAAATGCACATGTATCTTAGAAATTTAGTCTTTACTTTGTAATGAACATGATGACTTTTATTTTATATGGTTGTGCATTTGTTTATTCAATTATAAATGGCAACTAATTGCTTGAAAATGTTATTTATGTTGAATATGCTAGATATTTTGGAGAAGTTTATTATAGTTCTTCTCTAAAGATAGAAGATTGTGCAGTGTTTCTTTCTCATGCCATTTTAGAAGGAATTTTTTCTTTTTTTTGGTTTGTTTACAAAGTTTAATAGATGGCATATTTGGCTTACAATATCAAATTGGATTTTTATGCTCCTAGAAACAGGTAAAGAGAGGGTGTAACTACAATATTTGAAATTGGAGAGGAACTTTCTGCAATTGTCATAAATCTTGGGAGAAGTTTGTGAAATTATCCATATTCTTTTTCATAATTGGGCTGATTCAATATTCATAATTGGGCTGAATCAATCGTAATCAATCTAAGTATCCCTTAGTGTGGGCTGGTAGGAAAATTTGGAAATTTTGATGCGCTCGAAGTATTGCACACCAGGCAGTATACCACTCGAAATGGAAAAACGTATTCACTTTTTTTTATTCCTATCTGAATCAAATTTAATTTAAAATGAAATTAATTAAAGTGAATTAATAAAATTAGGAGTCCATGAAGAAATTCAAATTATTATATATATCACATTAAAATAAATACCATATTATTACTCATCTGTAAAAAGGGAGGGAGATCAATCTTGTATGTTTGGACAAGAGATTATTTGAAAATGATATTATAATATTTTTTTATATAATGCATGTGAAATTTTAAAAAAATCATTAAAAAATATATTTATATAACATCGTAAGTCAAATCACATCTAGAATAAAATCTATATCCAATGCTCAAAGGCAAATTCAGTCGTAAAATTGCACTCGAGAGCATAACGGGCTCGTTTCGCAGCTCCATCACTTCCAAGTCATTCGTAATTCAACGGACGACCTGCTTAAATGATTCCATCCTTCCAAGCTTAGTTCAAAGTACAACGTCAACGTCTGGGACTAATTAATAATAATTACATGTAACGAAGAAATTAATCATAGGCAAATTAAACACAAAGATTTCTGGTCTGACGACACCATTAGCTTCTTGTAACCAGTAGTCTGACTCTGTAAGGTCTCATCATCACGGCAGTTCTTCAAAAGTAAGACATATGTCCAACTAATCAACCCCGACATCTTTGCCACGCGTAACCGTACACCGCGAAAACCCAACGGCCCCGCAACTTCTTCCAACCGCTCCTTTCCTCCCACGTGGATCCCCCGCGCTTTTTTTTTTTTTTAATCTTTTTTAGCTTTGTCGAGATTCATCAATTGCTTTGCTAGATTCACGGGCCCTGTGGAAAATAAATTGGGGGAGAAGAGAAGACAACTTGGCCCGTGCAACCTGTGAGGGTTTTATCTACCCTCAAAATTACCATATTTGTGGTGTACATCGATAAGTCCAACCCATTATTGCAACAGTTCTTTTGGTTTGCACCATTTTTTTTTATAGAAGATGATAAGTGATAAGGAATGGCAACGTCAGTAGAGTAGACAAAGGCAAATCAGAACGCAGTTGAAAAAGCCATTTGTTTTCCTTACTGAATCTTTCTTTACACCTTAAAAAATAAAGACGAGTCGGCTGTCCTTATCAGTTATTTGTAAGCTTTTGGGCTCCAGCTGCAGACATTATTATTGTTTACTCCAGGCCTCCAAGGAAAGCCTTTTAAAATTTCTTCCCGGAAGCAGATTCTTTTGATTGAAGCAGCAATAGAGAGAAATAAAGAGTGAAAGAAAGACGATATCAAACCATGGAAGAAGATGAAACAGAGGTTCTGCTATCAAAGTACAAGTCACTTCCTGCAGAAAACTCGTTCCACGAACACGAAGCCACCGTCGGACTGAAGAAGTTTACATCAAGTCCGGCATGGTTTTTTCTAGACCAGTCTAGTCTCTGGAGGGCAGGTCTTTCTTGGTCACTCTTCTTTCTTCTAACCATTGGTGTCCCTCTTGTATCCCACTTCGTCTTTGCCTGCTCAAGCTGTGATGGAGATCATGTGAGGCCTTTCGATTCGATCGTCCAATTATCGCTTTCTGTGTTTGCATCGCTATCTTTTATCAGCCTCTATTCTTTCACTCGCTCCTACGGTCTGAGAAAATTTCTGTTTCTTGATAAATTAAGTGATGAGAGTGAGAAAGTTCGACACGGCTATACCCTTCAGATTCATGTGAGTCACTTTCCATCCCTTTCTTCTTGTCTATTGAGTATATATTATACTGATTAACTATCGTTCTTGGTTTCTTTATTTGCTAATCTAAAAGGAACAGCTGGATTTTTAGCATAATAATTGAACTCTTGATGATTACTCCAATATGACGCTGGTATTTAAGAAAATCCTGAGTAATCCTTTCATATTCATTTTGGAAACCTTATGACACTGGTACTGACAGAATTCAGGTAGCTTCATATGAAAGCTGTGCCGCGTTCTAAGTTAGGCTGAATTTCTTCCTCTGGAAAGTCATCCGTTTCTGCTTGCTTCTAATTTTTGCTGCCACAACTTACCAATTTTAAGCTTATTTTTAAGCAACCTCAAAATTTTATCTTTAAACTGACACTGGCTTCTGAATCTAAGGCATAAATTCTGCCATTACAAGGTTATGATGCATAAAAAAGTACATCTTGAAGAAGTCTGTATGCAGATAGAATTAGGAACTGTCCTCACTTTTTTGACACAAAAATACTAGTATCCAATACTCGGATGGCGACATTTTTCCCAAATTTTAATTTCAGTGATTTGCGTGCTTAGTCTGCTGCTTCAGTTGCCGTGGATGAGCAACCACTAGAAAGAAGAAAAACAATGCTGTCCACGGAAATACTTTATCCTTTACATTTTCAGTAAGTAGCTGAACATGTTACAAGAATTTACTACTTTTACCAGCGAATCATATTTCTTTCCATCTCAAACTGCAAGTCGAATGGTAAAAATTCTTGACGTCTAGTGAATCCCATATACATACTTTTAATCGAATCAGATTTAGGCTACTTTTTCTATGTTAATGGAATTAGAATAGCATGCTTAAAATTGAAGGATAATGCCTATTGGTGGTGCAGAGATCACTGAAGATCTTGTCAGCATTTGTCCTTCCCTGCTTCCTGGCGGATGGTGTCTACAAGATATGGTGGTTTGCCTCTGGTGGAACCCAAATTCCCTATTTCTACAATGTCTACTTGAGCCACATCATTGTGTGCATACTGCTGTTGTCTTCATGGCTTTACAGGACATCAGTTTCCTTCCTTGTATGTGTCCTGTTCCGCCTAATATGCTACCTGCAGATCCTTAGGCTGGAGGACTTTGCACAGGTTTTCGAGAAAGAGTCTGATGTTGGTGCAATCTTGTTGGAACATCTCAAGATCAGAAGAAATCTTCGCATCATAAGCCATAGATTCAGACGGTTTATTTTGTCTTCTCTGATCCTTGTCACTGCCAGTCAATTTGCGTCTCTACTTGTAACAACTGAGTCCAGCTCCACTTTCAATATTTCTACTGCAGGAGAACTTGCGGTAATCCTTCATTTCCAACTCTTTACTTTGTCGAACTAATACTGTTTCATCGTTGTGTTAGCATTAACTGCATTGTCGTATATTTTGACATCTATCAACTTACTCTTGTGCAGTTATGCTCCATCACCCTGGTAACAGGCCTTTTCATATGCCTGCGTAGTGCAGCGAAAATCACACACAAAGCCCAGTCTGTTACATCTCTTGCGGCAAAATGGCATATCTGTTCCACTACCAATTCCTTTGATGACTTCGATGCTGAGACTCCTAGGTCTCCCATTACCTCAGATCAGGCCATATACACAGATTCCGATGCCTATTGTGACACTGATAACGAAGAAGGAGATGGAGATGATGAAATTGACAACACAAACATGGTTCCAGTTATACACACCGTATCCTACCAGAAGAGGCAAGCACTAGGTGAGTTACAATAGTTATTCCAGAGATGTTCCTTCTATCAACTTAATCTTAGTACCTGCAAACCTGAACAACAAGGGTTTCTGGTTAAAACATCTTGCAGTGACATATTTTGAGCACAACAGAGCTGGAATTACAGTTTATGGCTTTATGCTGGATAGATCATGGCTTCACACCATTTTTGCCATCCAGTTGTCGCTTACGCTATGGATATTAAACAAGACAATTGGTATTGGGCAATAACTTCTCGTTGATCATCCACTCCTCTTCATTCTGTGCTTTGTGACAAAAGGGGAGTGGAGTCCCAAAATCACTCCTCTGGTGGGCTGTTCACAATCTTGCATGCGCGCGCAAATAGGGGGGGGGGGGGGGGGGAAGAGAAGCTTATTGTTTGTCCTGATCTCTAAGT